ATTATGGTGTGCTGCGGCGTGACTGGCGGAAAAGGATTACTGTTGTCGGGTTGTGAGTTATCGAGGGGTACGTCTTTTTGTTGTAAACCGCCTAAAATTTGTTATGAATGTCCAGGTTTGCCCTTAATGCGCGTTTTTGCGGTGCCCTTATCTAAGTAAAGGTACATGTGTGACAAGAAAATTTTCTCGCGTTAGAACAGTTATGGCATGCTTGTGTGGGCTGGGTGAAATTGGTTTCCCGTTTGAGAGGATCAAAGTCTACCTTATTCATGCGTTCTTTGATCTTTGACCCAAGTTACCATATAATTTGTGGGCTTCTTACACCTTGACTGCATAATTGTTGGGATCACCTCAGTTCTTTGCATGTGGTGGTCATCACTAAAGACGGTTTGAGAGTTAAGGATAGGGTGCGTAACCACCAGTGTTCTGGAAACTGCTGTTTGCACAATATGTGTGAGCCTGTAGAACTGTCTTATCATTGATTTGATACCTTTGCTGAAGCTTGGGCTTGCCTTGTCACTTTGTTTAAGATTGTATGTTTTGTATAGTCAATAATATAAAATATACTCATCTCATACATATATGGCCTATCTTATTTGGTATACCTTACAATTTTTATGTGCTCCCAATTCTTTTTATTGAATTCAAACATGCAAGTGCTGTGATGTGCCAGAGAGCAAACACCCCTTTAGGCTAGGTGATGCCATTCTCAATTCCTTGAGTGTATTGAAAACTATTCTTTCCACTACATCCAGTTTTGGAAGGTTTGCATTATTGTTTGAGGCTCATATAGGTGTGATACTGTTGAATGTCACCTTTGCTTCATTTTGTTTAGTTATGCCTTATGGGATGGCATATATGGAATGTCAGCTTTATATCTTATCATATTTTTTCAAATTTTTGTGTGGGATACCTGCAGCTTCAGAGCTCTGACTGTGAAGTTCCCTTTGAATTCAGCAATAACATCTCAAAAATGAAGGAAGTTTGGCATGGCTAGTGGGTAACAAATGGTAGCAAGTTCTCCACTGATGTAGGCTTTGGATATTGGTGATTGATCCCACTCACAGCCATAAGTTAGTTTCCACTTTTTATGGGCTTCAATCATTAAGGTCCATATGCTGCTCATTTTTTAACCACATCACCAATTTACCACTCCCTGCTGAAGACAAGGGCTAAATGAATAATGTAGCGCTGTGAATTAATAATATTTCATCCAGCATTTCAGTGATATGTATTATATATGCATTGCTGCAGGGATGATTGTGCTCATTTTTAACATCTAACCAATGAACACTGATCATTTTTTTTTCAGCCAGCTTGGAACAGCCTCAGGATGAGTGAAGGAGCTGAAAAGATGGTAAGCTAATAGGCAACACCAAAATTGAGATCAAATCAGTTGTTTTTGACACTGGCATGCACCTGGAGCCCCCAAAAGATCCAAGGATTTGATCTGAGAATATTTCTATGAGGTTTTGAACTGAAATGGTCATCTTGAGGACCCTTTGGTACAGTTCACAGCCCTGTTCTCCCTAGTACCTAAACTGTCTCATCTGTGGGCTACATGCCTGCAGAGGTGTGGACTTTTCTGCAATACTTTTTGAAGGTCACTGGGGCACCCATGATACCATTATGACATCATTCAGTTCCTGTCATTCCATTGCCCATGCGGCAATCAAGACCAAGAAAAATACAGTTGTTGAGTTGTTTATATGTGGCATTCATGAGCATAATTTTCAGACAGAACAGCCTTCAGTTGGCTTTCACTCAGTAGTTTATAAGGTATGACGACCTGATCAAACAGTGACATGTTGAGGTGCATATTGATGAAACAGAAAAGCTGCCTTGTCTAGAGCAGCCTTTCCACATAAAAGTTTGGTAGCAGTTATAAGCAAGCTTCTTTTATCATATCTGATATATATCTGATATATATCATATCTTGCTTCAATATCTTCAAATGTGGAACAATCCCTTTAAACATATGACAAGCTTCTTTCCAGATCAGCAGTTTCTCTTGTCATTAACTGTGTAGCATGTGTACTTCATACAAGTGTGTTGGAGACAGACAATCCAGCAGACATGTTTATTTCTTACAAGTGCATGTAAGGGGGGAGATCCAGGCAGTGCCTCTGTTACTCCCACTGCCGCGGTCGGCCAGTCGGTTGCCGGTCCGCGTCAGGCTGTGCTGTGCTGTTTTTTTGTTTGCATCAGGCTGTGCTGTGCTGTTTGCTGGCCCATGTCAAATTGAGCCGTGCTGTCTGCCAGCTCACATCAGGGTGATCCGTGCTGTCTGCTGGCCCGTATCAGGCTGAGCAGTGTTGTCTGCCGGCCCGCGTCAGGCTGGTCTGCACTGTCTGCTAACCTGTATCAGGCCGGGCAGTACGGTCTGCTGGCCCCGCCTTCCGCCGTGTCAGGCCGTTCACCGCGTGCCGCAGGACGAGGACCGCGTGTATGGCGGCTGCGAGGGGCCAGACGCCATCTACGTCAAGCTGCGCTCCTCCGATAACCACGAGTTCATCGTGAAGCGCGAACATGCGCTCACCTCAGGAACCATCCGCAACATGCTCAGCGGACCCGGCCAGTTCAAAGAGAACGAGACGAACGAAGTCACCTTCAAGGAGATCCCGTGAGTGTGGTGGTCGGCCTTCCGCTCTTTACGCCCCGTGGTGGGGGGGGGGGGGAGGGGAGGGGTCGCCGTCTGTTATATTGCACAATCACGAAGCCCACTGTACCAGCAATTGAACCATGCCTATCAGTGATTCCCTCAGCATGGCTGCTTGGGAAAAGTGTTGATACTGATCCATGTCACGCATTCTTGTAATGTTATTTGTCTCACACATCAATGGCAACCAGACCTTGTAGCGTATTTGGAGTTATTGGGTGTTGTGTTTTGTGGAAATTCCCGTAGAATTCTGGTAGGTCATTGCGACGCTTGTTTGTGCGTCACAGACGATGTTGGCAATTCTGTTCCAGTTCGCATGTTCTGCAAATGGTCTGCATGTACTTTACGTACAAGGTCCGCTACACGAATAGCTCCACCGAGATCCCGGACTTTCAAATTGACCCCAAGGTGGCTCTGGAGCTCCTGATGGCGGCCAACTTTCTCTACTGCTGAGTGCCAGTGCTTCGCGTAGCTGGACGTTTGCATTAACAGCGGAAGAACAAGCGGAAGCCGCTGCGGCCGGTTGATGTGTGGATACAGCTAGTGACATCTATCGGCTGGTGTGGCAGGCCGACCGCTGCGCTGGTTACCACCATTATGACTCCGGACTTGCGACACATGAGTGCCTCGTGACAAACGTAGGGCCTCTGATGGCGGCTTGAACCCATGCCGCGGTGTTCTCATGTCGTCACGTTGGCAGTGGGTGCGAAAGTCGTGCGCCAGATCGTTCGCGATAGGCACACTGCATGTATGTTGCGCATAAGCTTTGTACATGGTGCGTTAGGACATGGCGCTAACTGACTGAGTGGCCCCTATCGAACCTTGGCTTTAGCTTGTTAGGTATTTGCCGAAAATGTAACGTCAATGTTCTACGGCTGTCCTATATGGGTCTTTTGTCCCGTCGAAGTGGGCACCGGTTGGTATCCGAGGCAAACATTGTTTTACGCTAGGCCAGATCCAGACGTGTGGCCTGCGAAAACATTCAGTGTGGCGGACATTGAAATGGTAACTTAACACATCATCATGGAGCGGGAATGACTTCGATTATGTTTGTAGTTCAGAAACTGCTACTGGTCTCGAATAAATTGTGGTCACGGGAGACTTCTGAATCTCGTGAAGGCGTGATGACTTGTAGATGATCCTTTTTTGCTATTCCCTGCACTCTTTGGCCGGCTTTAAAGTATATAGCACGTGGCCTGTGCTGTCTACGTAGCGGTAGACATGATCTAAGGTAGCGATGGACATGACCAACTACGACTGCTCGTGGCCATGAATGGATTGGATTTGCTCTTGAGACCCGATCGTCTCAGACGTAAGGGGCACACTGTCATCAGCTGTCAAAGTGCCACAAGATGTATCCTGTACTTCCTCATATGTCTCAGTTCTGTTGTCTTTTCGATGAGGCTGCGTCTTCGCGATATACGCCTGGTGCAAAGTGCTCACCTAAATTTCTCACCTTTCATGCGGAAAATGCATTTCAGAGCATGACAGTACTGCAAGCTGAAAGCTTGCTATCTTTCGGTGAGCTTTGCGGACAAACACTACCATGTGAGTCCATTTAATGGTCATGCTTTTTTACTTGGTAATGCTCTCAACGGTTTTTCCTCAACTAACACGGTACCTTTAATGTGGGTGATCAACGAAAGAGTACTGAATAATTTCCTGCGCCGGAATAGTGCACAACTGGGCGGCGAGCAATACTGGATCTTCTCATCACAGGACTAACTGAAAAGCCCTGAGTTGTCCCGCTGGAATAGTGCGGTGGCTTAAGCGAACTTGCCACATATGGCGACCTGTGACAGATGTGATGGCTGCCGGGGTTTGCCGCACTGGTGCACCCGAGATCCCTTTCTGACTGCACTCCCCATCTCATTTCCAAATCCATCGCTGCCAACGTCGCGCAGCCCGGATGGTGGCATAACGCTGCCTCCGCATGCAGTGTGGAGCTGCTGCACTCTGAGGTCACCGGGTCCGTCCTTTGCCCGTTGAGATCGCTACAATGTGGCTAGACTGACACCACTGACTGCCGGGTGACCTCTCCAGGTGTCACTGGTGCCTCTTCGCCAGCGAGCGATAAATCGTAAAATGTGTTGAGCACACGCATCGAAGTCCATGCGTACGTAACCGTTTGCGTCCGGAATACCCGCCTCCCCGGCGTGTTGCTATTTCGCTCAGCGAAAATTTCGCTAATTGTGTGTTGCAAGCCAAGAGCGCAGACAGAATTTATTTTCCGATGCTTCACGATGTGTAGGTACACCTCCCCCCCCCCCCTCTCTCTCTCTCTCTCTCTCTCTCTCTCTCTCTCTCTCTCTCTCTCTCTCTCTCTCTCTCTCTCTCTCTCTCTCACTCTCACTCTCACTCTCACTCTCACTCTCACTCTCACTCTCACTCTCACTCTCACTCTCACTCTCACTCTCACTCTCACTCTCACTCTCACTCTCACTCTCACTCTCGGGACCAGGACCTAGCACTGATGGATCCGGACTGAACGGCTCGCATGGCCCCAGATGAGCATTGTCTTCAGGCCAGGGACAGACACACCAGGCAAGCGCTCGCCATTGCTGCATCATAGCCAAGCGTTATCCCCATTGGGTGTATCTGCATCACAATCGAGGAACCTTACAGGTGCATCGGAATTTTTGGATCATGTCAAGGGTGGAGCGCCTGACCTTTCACCGCAAATTGCTCTCCATTCCGACTTTTTCCGGGTTAGTTCAAATGCAGGGAGCCGTGTATCCCAGTCTCGGCTCAACTGGCCGACTGGAGCCGGTCACCTTCACAATGATCCGTCACCATAGGGCGCGGTCCATGGCGGCGGCCTTGTGAAACATTGACAGCACCTGTACTATTCAGCAGCGTGTTCTGTATTTGCGTCAAAGCAGCACACTCTTAGCAATCATGCACCCTACACCTAAGGATGCCGTAAAATATATGTACGATACGCTTACGATAATGCTCTCAGTCGTAACTAAAAACCACGAACTTCTACACGCGTATCTACTTCAAGAGATTTCTATTTCGGAATCTTACTCGATACGAATAACAAAGCGTTGAAGACAGACGATCCACAGAGCATCACGACAAACTTGTTTTTTAGGAGATGATAGGTGGCATCAAACCTGCAAAGGCGGCGAAGCACAGCTGCAAGACACACGTTACGCGTACATGGCAGGAGTGGCTGTGGCAGAACTGCCTCGTCAAAAAGAGTCCAAACGCTGGGAGCAAGCAAGTACGGATGTAAACACAGCGTGACGCAGCACAGAAATGAAGTCGTTGGTTTCAGCACCCACAGTAAAGCTGACCGCCCTCGACGCGGCTCATATATGTCTCTCAGTGCTGAGACGTCACAAAAGCAAGCGAAAGGGAATCTCACCGGGAGATAATCTTCGGACTAAATAAACATATCCAGTGTCATTTGTTCAGAGTTGCCACATGCGCACGGACACCACGCTTCGATTCCATGATTTGATCATCATTACAGCGGTGGCGCTGTAATGTGTTCGTAATGTGTTCGCTGTAATGTGTTCGTAATGTAACGTGTTCGGTCGGCACCGGGACAGCTATGTTTCCCGCTTGTTACGGCAGGGTGGTCGCAGCAGACTACAGGGGTCTGTTTTAGACAACCGCCCGAGCTGGCGAAGCCGGGCGGACTAGTAGAATACCCAGTGATCAAATAGCTCTCGCGAAGCCTCGACAGATCGGTCAACCAGTGCGACCAGACGGCGACCCTGTCTCGCAGATGAACAAGACAAGATCTCCGGAGAAGATGAAATGTTCCAGTGTTGGGGCAACCGCCCCGGGTAGACACCGCCGACGGCAAGCACGTGCGTGTCAGCGGGCGGCGCGGCCCAGGCGCTGACTCAGCGGACCCTCCTCCCGTGGCGCAAGTGGCCGACGCTGTGACTCCTACCGGCATCAACCACCGCCGTCACAAACAGTCGTCACTGGGTACAGCAGCACCGTACAACGCTTACGCAGCACTGCGCAATGTGTACCGGAGAATATGATAAAGCTAGCATACTGAAAACCGCATTATCGCACGAACAAAGTGATCTAAGAAGTGTTAAGCAACCACGAGAAAGTAACGACAGCAATATTGATAAGTCTGCTGTCGGGCACGCAAACAGTATCCCCGTGCACATTTAACGCGCGCCCGGGTGGCCGGCTAGATACCCTTCGCTCGGGTGGGGTGGGGGGTCAAGTTGACACCCCCTCCCCTGAGAACTCGGGAACTAGGAAAGCTAGATATACTAAATTTACAGGGTGTCTTGACCTGTACGTGAACTCACTTAGATCAAAGTGTGAGCTTCCTAGGTCATGACCTTCAGGCAAAATAAGGTCAAACAAGGCCGAATTCCAGGCTGGTCTCCAAAGTGCCCCAGAATTTAGGCAAATGTTCCCAAGCAAAAGATCAGAAGCCCATTTGAGGTCAGTGACCTTGTTTGACCTTTTTAAGGCCATGGTGACTAAAACCATACAATACTGCTCTGAGTTTTCCATTTGAATAAGCGACAAGATTACGCTAGGCAGTATGCTCCTAAAACAAAACGTCGACCCAGGTCATATTGGGTTAATGACCTTTTCTGACCTCTAAGAAGTCAACGGAAGATGTATAATGTAGTTCCTGCTGTCAATGGATTTGAAATGAGCACCACAGACTGTCCCATACAGTAAGCCCTAGAGTAATAAATCACGTTGGTTGTGATCTTGGTCTGAGCTTTGTACCTGAACTTGGGTCAACGTAATTTGCTCATTCAATATTTGTGGTGCCTAAAAAAGCATCTCAGTGATGTAGGGCTTCGTCAAAACTTCGTTGTTGTATCAGATTGGACAATTCCATAGAGACAGCCTTCGCTAAAACCATTGCCTGACTTTGACCTGCCATGGGTCAGCGACCTTACCAGGTGCATCTAAATTTTTGATGTCAAACGATCCACTATTCAATTGTCTACAGCTAAGCAAAATTCGGAAACCATTCAGGAAAGACCTTCGGGGGGGGGGGCAATTTGACCGCCCGCCCCCCCCCCCCCTCCCTCCCCACCCGAGCGCGTGTTAAAGCCAATGGACAACACGACATCTTCAATTATGCACGCCCTAGTGGGGTCCAGCCGGACCCTGCCCCTTTGCCGGACGATCAGCACCATGATGTACACGAGTGCCGCCATGCCTCGCCCCCATCTGTCTGTGAGGGACCCCAAAACGGTCACCGCGCGCACCTGTACATCTCTGCGCCATCGGGGCGCCACGCGGCGGGGAGGCGTCCGGCGCGCTCGCTCAGCCTGGTGCGTAGCTGGCCCCGGCGCGGCGAGGTCTGCTCGGCCTCCTCAGAGATGTCCGGCAACGGCGTCCACGGCTCCTCCGGCTCGAACGCTGCCGGCAACACCGTCACATCGCTGACACGGTCGCCAACCAGCCACAGCCACCGGCAGCGACATTGACGCGATCGCCGACCAGCCACAGCCACCGGTAGCGACGCTGACGGGGTTGCTGGCCATGTGACTTGCGCGCTGACTCACGCACTTCGAGGCGTTCGTGGCGCCGCAGGCTGAGTGTGGCCCTGGCTGACCTGGGTTGACGCGGCCCCTCTGGGTGCCGGTCGGCTGGCCGTCGGTGGCCTGGCGCTGACGGCTCAGATGGCGGCCGCTGGTCGGCCGGGAGCGCCTCCTCGAGCCGGACTCGTCAGACGAGCGGCTCCGCGCGCTGCCGGCGGCAGCCCACACTTCGCTACTGGCTGGCTGACGAGGTCGGTCGGCGATGGCCGCACCACTGGCAATCCGGCACCATTGGAGGGATCGCGATGTTGACACTACGCATATGCACCTAATACTTAAAAGGGCACCATTGAGGCCGTGACTGATTTTGCGTGAATGTTAAAAGAATCATAAAAAGACACATTTCACTCAACATCTAGAAATTGAGGCATCTCCTCTCCATTGGTATGACATCTTTCGTCTGCTGCCTCTTTACGCATCGTCCGGCTTTACGAGTGGGCTGCACACCAGCTAACTCAGGCAGATGGCGGTACATCAGGCCACAAGAGCGTTACCTGGCCGGAGATGACTCGGAGTCGGAGCTGATACCGGCCGGCTGAGAAGACAGCGTGGTGATGGAGGTGTCGAGTGACTGGCGCGTCTGCCGACACTGCTGACTCTTCTGCTGGGCCAACTGCAGGCTCACCAAAGGCACACATATGACGCCAGACCAGCTCAACGGCCACGCGAGGAACGGGCTGATCCACAATCTATTTGTGTAAAACTTCCTCTAGCGGCGTTTGACACATCGACTTAGCCGCGCTTTGCTAACCAACATACCAGCCAACATCTCGATAGCATCCAGCACCAGCAAAGGTCAGAGCCGTTCAAATGCAATTCAGTGTTACTTAGGTGGGGAAATTCGACTAGTTCACCCCCTTCGACTTCATAAGAGCACACCGTCTCGGAGAACTGTGTTACCACACAAAAAGCGGCCTACCGGCCAATAGCGGAAGGGCTAGGGGCACAAAGGGACAATCATGCACCACTCACCACCATTTGGCCGTAGACGCTGTTCATCATGGTGCTGCTCTTGGCCGTGTTGAAGCGGCCCAGCAGGATCTGGCGCGTCCGCGAGCGCAGCAGACAGTGAAACACAAAGATCAGGATCCCCTGTAATCAGAAGTCACGTGCGCTTCACCCGTCCGCGCCGGAGGACCGCGCGCAACACCAGCACCACGGCGTCACCGCGCCACAGTGGCGCTGGCGGAGATCACGGGGAGTCGGCGCGGAGGCAAGAACTGCACCAGCGGGACGACCCTCCCCACCCCTCCCCAGCCGGGGGAGCGGCGGCGCCACCATCGCTACCCCAGGTACGACGCAGGTGAGGCTCATCGCGATACAGAGCCAATTCAGCCACGAATAAAGCTCTTATCGGGTAGGCGACCATAAACGGTGTGGGGAAAAGCAATATTGGGTGTAACTGCCCCGAGCCCACTGTAAGATTGGTGTGCTAGGAACATGATCAACGGGTTTCGAAGTCGAGGCACCAAGGCATAATGCACTATGCACAACCGTGCTTATAACTTTGTCGTGCTTTACCTCATATTGTCCACGAATGCACAGGGGCTCGCGCAGGTGTGCACAACTTCCTAGCGCATTGGTACGGTGCGAAAGCGCGTAAGCATATAAGTTGTCGCGCCTTCGAGTTCGCAGCTATCATTCCAGGGAAAGCCCGCATGCTTTTTCCGTACCGCAACTTACCAGTGGTGGTATTTGTTCAGCATTTGTCATTGCGTAACAGGCGCGAATGGTAGCCGTTAAACCCGGATCACTCGGCTCCGGTGTCTGGCCCTAGCTCTCATCGAAGACTGAGGCTGACTGATAACACGTCGAATCTGATGTGGTTTTTAAACCCTCGATGCACTTATCATGGATCTAATCATCACTGTCCTTGAACGCGTATAGTGATTCACCGTTGCTTCCGTAATTACGTTAACCACAACAATTAGTAATTCTTTCCTGCTTACATATTAGCACAGCTTCCGGCTCCGCACTTAAACCCTGGTCTTCGTTTTACCCTCTGTCGTCGGACCTGACAGAGTACTTAAATGAGACCCTATTTCCTAGCTTCCGGCCGCTGCACTGTCCCTCAGCTCCAGCTACAGAAGCGTCCGTGTGATGCCGCTGGGTGGCCAGCACGCGCCCAGCTGACCAGCACGGTCAGCAGTGTGGCCGGGCGGCAGTGATCGACCGTGCCGTGTCAGGCGGTGGACGCCGCTGACGCCGCGTCTGGCAGCGGGCCGGGTCTGCCGACCGGCCGACACCGGCGGGCGCGGCACAGCCGACCTTGGCCGTCACAGCACGGTCCTGTTCCTGCCCGCGCCGCGCCGCGGCAGCCGGCCGACAGACGTGCCGACCGCACGCGCTCCGAACAAGGCGCAGACGTAACTCACGCCGGACCACGAGCTGAGCTCGTCGGCTGCACAAAGCGACCCTGCGCATACACCGCACCGCCGCAGGGCAGCGCGTTGCCGTTTACATACCTGGCTGCCGCTGTGGAGGAGCTACGCGTCAAACCCTGGTTCTGATCAGCAGGCAACAGAAGTGCTGTCGACCGCAGTGGGTGTGAACCGAAACTGGCAGCGGCGAACCACCGCCACTGCCCGTCCACTGACCCCGCTGCTGACGCCATTTTAATGGCCTGGCTGCAGGCACCTGCAGGCCGCCAGCTGGCCGCTTACATTAGGGCGTGCAGGCATGGCAACAGGAACATACACGAACCTTGCGCCGCACCTCTCCTTGCAGCAGGAACCAAGCAACAGGAGCGTGCCTAATTCATGTGCCTCCGGTCAGGGAGACAGCAAAGGATCGAGTACGGTCCTCGTGCCAGCCCTTCGGCCGCCCAGAGACAGAGCGAGAGGAGCGCAAATGGCTCTCGTGTTGCCTCTCCGCACTACAGTGGGGATACAGCAATAGAAGGATGTTATGGTTAGAAGGAAGCACAGTGATAATAACTTATCCTGGTAATGCATTTAGGAATTTGTTGCAAAATTCAAGACGCGAACGTATCGTATGCAGTTTCGAAGCACATTCACGGTACGTCAGTCGGCTCATTCCTTCAGCGCCAGCCACGGGCACCGCTTCTTTTTAACGCAGACGGCCGCGGCCCATGCTGCGGACGTGCCGTATCGCACTGCCCGCAAACCCGCACCCCATACGGCTAAAGAGACCTTTAGGGCCTCCAGTGTCTCCAGCAGCTCCCCGTGAGTGAAAGTGAAGAGGGCCTTGCTCACCCCTGTTTATTTTGCTGTCGCTGTTTTAATGGCTCACGAGTTCTCGCGAACAGCTTCCTGTTCAGATATGCAGGCGCGGCGCGATGCTGCGCCACCACATTACTCTCCGTAGGCATCACCTGTGCTGCCATTCGAAACCGGATCGTTGGCGTGGAAGTATGTGATGGAGGATAGGCTAGCCGCCTAAAAGCCAACACATTACTCTCCGTAGGCATGACCTGTGCTGCCATTCGAAACCGGATCCTTGGCGTGGAAGTCTGTAATGGAGGATACGCTAGCCGCCTAAAACGAATGATTTCTTAGATTTCAAGATGTTTTCGAAAGAATGCATACGTCCCACGTTACAATGAAGCATATGCATGCTCATAATAAACTTATTACAGAAGTTGTTTCCGGTTTTTGAAGTTTCCAGCTCGACTATGATCATAGCGTGGAGCTCATGGCGTGGCAATAACGTGGTGTCGCCTCACGTGCATGCGCTAAGCCCTTTATTGATCGAGGCCGCGCCGTGCCTAAGCCGTGGCCGTGAAGTCAGCATGAGTTCGTTATCGATATTGACATGGCTATTTGGACCCCCTTGGATTTGGTTGAAACCGAGGATGAACTTTCCCATTCAACGGGGAAAAGAGGCTCCAATGCCCTCGCCCAGCACTTCGAGAAGGAGATGGACCAAATTCCGGGGAAACTAGTGTTGGAGCGCATTTTGGCGTAGGGTTTGTCGAGCCTGGCGCGCAGGGTTTGTCATTTTGGCGTAGGGTTTGTCATTTTGGCGTAGGGTTTGTCATTTTGGCGTAGGGTTTGTCATTTTGGCGCAGGGTTTGTCATTTTGGCGCAGGGTTTGTCATTTTGGCGTAGGGTTTGTCATTTTGGCGTAGGGTTTGTCATTTTGGCGTAGGGTTTGTCATTTTGGCGTAGGGTTTGTCATTTTGGCGTAGGGTTTGTCATTTTGGCGTAGGGTTTGTCATTTTGGCGCAGGGTTTGTCATTTTGGCGTAAGGTTTGTCATTTTGGCGTAGGGTTTGTCATTTTGGCGCATGGTTTGTCATTTTGGCATAGGGTTTGTCATTTTGGCGCAGGGTTTGTCATTTTGCACTGCCGAGCCCCAACTCATTTTGGGATACTGTGTCCTCACCTAAAACTCTGTATATCGGTAAACATTGCACTGCTGAATCGTATGCCACTAGCTTGGAACCTGGATGCCACTAATTTGGGGCCACTGCCTAGCTTGAGGGTTATCTAAAAGCAAGACCTTAACAAAAATGCCAGGCAATGTCAGCGCCATCGGAAAACAGCCACTCACTAATATTAACCTCAGTACCACTACATCCTCAATATCACTAATAACCACTCACTTGTAACAAGAACACAGCCGCTAATGAGAGCGTACGACTTACAAAGTGGGCAAAAGGTAACATTTTCAACTTCTTCTAATCTTTCAAATTGCTCCAAAAACGACTATATTAGCCATTTTTAAGCGCAATGTATTAAAACCCACTCGCCAGAGCTTAGAGTCAACCGAGATGAGCATTCAGGTCTCCATCAATGTCAGTGAAACAGATTAATAGAACCGCACGTACCAACCTAACATAAACTTATGGTTTTAGCCCGTGAATCATTTAAGCTCAAGGTTTTAGCCCTGACTAGTTTGACCTCCGAGGTAACGCAAGGTCAGACGACTTTTCACCGTGGCTACCGTTCACGATAACATGAGCCATTTGGAAGCATGACGGCCACCCAGGTCAGTTGAATGGGACTAACAAAGATGCGTCGATTACTGGCGCATATATGGCTCGGGCTGTTAAAGCCATAGGTTTTCATGCCAAGACTTCCTCCACCAAATCCACCCCACTACCCATTGGGCTGAGCCCACACCCACCCGCTAACCACTCCCCATCTGTTGCACCCGCCCCGTGCCCACCCATTTTTATTTCCAGCACCTTGATTCTAGATTATTGAAAAGTTTCCAGTAAATTACAACGAACTTGACTGTGTCGCTTTAATAACGGTAGAAGTAGTGTTAATGGGCCCCGAAATTCATTATTTTTATTGTTATTGTTAAACCCTGAAGGATATCCAAGTGGAAACGCTAGGTGGCATTTCTTGAAGCGTCTTCCCGACATTCCGTGAGCTTTTCATCTGCACCCATACCCATCTGCGTAATTCGTCTAAAATCTGTACCCAACACATCCTGTTTCCCTTTCCACATGGGTCACCCTGGACTTATTCCACCTGTAATGTCCTCTCGTTTGAAGACCCTTCATAGAAGTTTTTATATTTAACTTTTACATCTTGTTTGGTAAACGGTAGCCGGTGTGTCCACCGGGCGGTAGGCGGTGTATCCGCCTATATCTTGCAGTCATTTTCACGTCTCAGCCTGTCGGGCGTTGTAATGTGATATCCATCCTCAGAACTCAATCTGTCGGGTGTTGCAATGTGATATAAATCCTCAGAAACGACACATTCCCGTGGATGTATGGCTTACACAAGATAACGCGTGCTGGTCTCAACACGCCGATCCATACTGTCCCCAGTATGATTGGCCGTTTTTTTTCCTCCGCTAGCATCAGTTAGTCTCATGTCACTGCTACGTTAGACTGTGGAAATATGGACCCGGTTTTAGCCCGGGTTCTTCAATTTTTGCCCGCCATGGAGAGCTTTTATTTCTTCTATGCTAGTTCAATAAGGGGGTGATGGGGAGGGGGGATAAAAAGTAGTGATGTTGCAACATCGCTGAAAACTGAGTAAACCTGCGACCGGTGGTATTACATGTGTTAGTTTCCAGAAAGCACGACAGCCGAACAGGACCGACGCTAGCCCCCAAAGCACTAATTTTGCCGATTCTCAACATTCACTCGCCTGCAACTTCGTGGGTAATCACGCAGAGGAGTTCACCGACGCCACCTGAAAACTTTGGATTACTATGCGGGATGTAGACGGCACGCAAGGAAGGAAACTCCATGACGAACTGGCGGTGATTTCGAAGCACAGTATGTTGGTTTTAATGTATTGATTTACGTTTATAATGGGCGTGAAGGCACCCTTTGATCCTCTTTGCTTCCATATGTTTTTAAAGCCAAGAGGCGGTCTTGTCTTTGATTAGAAACGCACAGATATTGCAGGGACGGATGAAAGATGTGGCAGAGTGAATCAAGGAGACGGCATTAGGAGACCCAAGCTCAGCTACGACACCCCAGGAAATGGTGCACTGCGTGCAAATGATACACTGCAGGGTGAACGTATCAGGTCACAAGTCTGGTGCTAAATATCGAAGCATGGGGAAGAAAGTCGCGATTTCTAGGTGCATCAGCCATGCGCCACGCATTTTGAGCGACCGACTCTGCATGTTCTACATCTATAAACGGTATGTGGCGTGGCCGGAAGCAGGTGCAGCGATCACAATTTAGAGGAGAAAGCCAATCAATCTATGTTTGCATTGTAACGTTTTGCCAAATGTCAAATGGTTGTATTTCTTCTTAACCCTCACATTTTAGAACCCTGCACGCGCCACTGATCCCCAACATGGTTCGCACGTTACAAATTTGCGTTCAAAATAGTCACAACGCCGAAGTGCCAAAGCATGTAGGATATTTCAATCACCTTCGAAAGCTCAACAATCTGTTCAGATTTACTCCGTTTTGTGCTCGTGTGTGCAACATAGGCGACTTATACATTTTGTTCGCATAATAAATTGATACTGGCCACAATGCTTTTTATACCCCGCCTATGAAGGTTCATCCAGTACATTTCACAACTGTAGGGCAGCCGAAACAACTTACATTTCTTGACCGTAACGCGGGATGGACCACATTATAATAGCGGATATCAACCAATGAGCAGTTGCCAGTTGATCGACGACGGTTGTGAAGTCGAGTGAGCGAAGAAGCCCGAAGCAGAGCAGTTGGCCCAAAACTACTGAAGCACATCAAACTACTGTAGTTCCTCTCACGCCATACACGACATCATGCTTCAACGGCCTTCTACTATGGCGGAGCGCTCCTGGCAGAGGCTTTTGATATGCTTCTCATGTGATCTGTGCACCACGTGTTAGAGCTTTTGACACCCGTACAGAAGTCTCGCTCCTCACCTGAGAGCAGTTCAGCACCGTGAAGACGTAGTCGAAGACGTTGGAGCCATCCACCAGTAGATAGCCGACAGTCCACTGGACGCCCAGCAGACAGGAGAGGCAGAACCACCCCTTCAGCCACCGTTTGATGCGCTCCTTCTTGGCCCGTAACTGATTCACCTTTAGAGATGCCGCCGAACGGAACGCGAGCACCACTACCAGCATGTTCATCTGCGACCGCAAGTGGATGGTCAGCGCAGTCGTCTACAGCGCCAGGCTCATGAAAACCAAAGGAAACAGGCAACGCCAGGAACTGACCGCGCGGAACGAGCCATATTGTGACGTTTGTGTGTGTTTATGAGCTCCACGCGGGGTAGTCGGTGGCAAGGTGGACGGCATTCCACTCCAGGTGAAGATCGCAACTTACTGGCTGGCTTGTTTGTTTGCCGTTTCAATGGTGCACCATGTGCATTGTGCGTGACGGCGTGTTCAGACCCAAGCGTCAGTTTCACAAGCGGACGAAAACATTGACGTCGATTTCAGTGAACCACGTCGGACCAAATGGGAAACTCGTCCCTTGGGCAGGCAGGACACGGCACGCTCGGGGTGGGAAATGCAACGCTACTTTGCAAGCCTCACAGCACAGATCACACCAAAGGTTTGGTAATAAGGGCATTAGCAGCCTCTTCATTGGTGTCGCCGCCGCCAGCCCACAGCTACCCGAGACGCGTCTTGTCATGTGCTTTGTCAGTCTCCGCCAGGACAGACACACACAGCTGCGTGCGTGCGTGCGTACCAGTGTCTGTATCTGTTCGCGTGCACGTGCTTTTCCATGACAATGCCTTAGTGTCTACATTTTGAAGTGGCAAGACAAGCCCGTTCTCTTGATGTCCGTCAGTCAAACCGCGACTCACACTTACGATCAAAACAACTGCCAGAGGACCATTGAAGAACCAGATGAAATAGGGGACCTTCAGCCAGCAACTGGAAAAGTAAAGCAGGTGGAGAACTGTAAATATTCAGTTTTGAATACAAGGAATACAACGATGAGTCAGCATTAAAAGCATGATTCCTCCTAAAAGAAAAATCAGAACGGAGAGATAGATGCGTCATTTCGGCTGCATGCCCTTATCGAAACGAATATCAGTCGTAAATTCAAGGTCTTCTACTGATAGTCTTTTCGGTAAGACATGTAGCCGAAATATCACATCTGTGTCTCCATTCTCTTGTTTATTCTACGAGGAAGAAGGATATTGATCCGATCTCATCTATATGCGTAATGTTCCTCGCAAATGCACTGAACAACTTACGTAACGAACATAACGGTATGCGCACACTGTGGGCATTACGATTCCTCTTCTCTGGCGTTCAATTCACATCATACATCACAATGTTCAACGTGAGTGGCTTATTGATTGGTTTCATTGATTACATCAAATGTAAACTACGCTGACAACGCATTTTAGCACACGGTGTGTGCATTTGCGAATACTCTGGTCACTAAAATCGTGTACACGTTTATAGCTAGCTTGCGGATTATTGCCCCCAGCGTTTTTATTCGCATGCGCAATTACCAGAAGATCTGCAATGTGCTAATGCACATAATAGCCACTTCCACGACAGTTCAATACGCTAAAAAGTCATCAAAAAAATTGTAAAATGCCTCCAGGAAGTTTTGGTATATACTTACGACTTTGACAAGGAAATGGTCATTTTCAAGCAATTTTATTGACATTCAGAAGCTAACCTGTATGCTTTGTTAAAAATAAGTTCATTACAAGAAATAAATCTCTTTATAGACATTTGTTTTCAATCCATGTCTTAAGCTCAATCAAATTCTGGCGAATACCAGGCCTGGCAATCAGCCGTGTAAACCTGTCGGGGGCCTCCGCGGTGCCAACATTGTTTACGTCGGCACCGTGTGGAGCAGGGGGGGGGGGGGGCTTTCCGATGATTTAAGTCAAGGATCATTCATCATGGATCATGTGCTGGTAGTTAACCACTGCAAGCACTGCAGGGACATGGCCAGAAAACTATGAGCAGGGCCATGGCCAGAATGTTGGAGTTTTTTGTTGTCGCGTCTGCGTGCGTCAGACATGTCACTGAACGTTTTTGAAAGGCTTTAAACGTTTCGGTGGGAAGACATCTGGCATCATGCCTGTCCATAAATAAAACATGATCTTGCTGATAGCCAGTAAACCACAATATTACCCAAATTTACGTAATTACAAGCTATACTTTTTAACTCCACAAAACACTTTTAGCCGAAAATCGTGGGTAAAAGTCGTTTCGTTGGAAAATAAGCGCTAAACATTTTTAGAAGTTTTTAAAACCTTGCATCGCAATCCTTGAGAAAAAACGACTAATGTTATTGCATGCAACACCATGCACACGAAGTAAATGGATCACTAAGCAGACGGGCACACACAATATTGATAAGCATATGATCGTACGACACGACGTGCGATAAATACCCAATGACCATGCATCAGATAAGCACAACTCTTTATAGACGCCGCCAGTAACCTGCTGAACGCTACGGAACCTACTGACACAAAGTCAGACAGGTAGGCAAAGAAAAATGCATGAATATGAAAGGCGTGCTGATTGCAACAGATTGGCGAGCGAATCTCTCAGTGTGACCAAAAGGCGGAGCGCCGTAGAGCTCACAATTCATCCCGGACGTAGGCGTACTGGTCGGTGCCCAGCGCCACCGTGTTGGTGACGATCACGATCAGCGCAGGGCCCAGGTAGCCGTACATGTAATACCTGAGGCAGACCAAACACCGCCTCACACCCCTGGCCCACATATATCCAGCGGAGTGCTTAGTGGATGGGGCAGCAAAGCAAAGAAGATGCAGCATCCCAGGCTCGGACACTTCCGCGTGAAGTAACAAGGCAGAGAAAACCCAAATAGAAACACTCGGTCTCTCATGAAAGGCGTACTGCCGCAAAAGTACCGTGTAATAGAAGCATGCAAAACATCTAGAATGGCAGATGAATTCAACCCTGGGTAAAACTGACATGTTTGCCTTCGGGCGCTCTCAGGCTAGCAGATTGAGCGAAGATCAATAGAGGGGTTCGGGCACCTGATGATGGCGAACACGGGAAACCCCTGCCCACAACCCTTCTCAAAGCGGCGCTCGTCTGCTAGCTTTGAAGTCTTCAAACGTTAACAGGTCACTTCTGGCATGACATGAGATTATTTCTCCACTATCGAGCACAATGCCCGAGATCAAGATGGCGATACAACAAAGTTTGAGAACATCGAGTCCCAATTTTCGTGCATCTTACGACACGCGTCCAAGACATGATCACTGTGGGGATTGCATAATCTCCACTAATTCCACACGTAATTGGAGGACGCCCCCCCCCCCCCCCCAGCCTCGGGCCACGGCGCTCCAGTCGGGTCCGCTTTCTGCCACCCTACCTGCCGGTGCCCACCTGGTCATCGAGTTACTCTTGGGTTCGAACACGTGTCGCAACACCTTGTACAGGTGGACGCCCTCCACCATGCTCCAGGCGAACACGGAGAGGAAGCAGTAGTGGATGGCCATGCCGGCGAGGCTGCAGGCGATGGGCTCCAAGTAGACCAGGTGGCGGTCCATGACAGTGAGCAGCAGCACCAGGCCGGCGGCGTACGTGGCGCACAGGTGGCGTGTGATGGTGGTGCGGCAGCAGCGCAGCGATCTGACGGCGGTGGGTACATCTGGAGGAGGACTGCGCGCAGAAACGGGCTGTAACTAAACCCAACGCACTCGTCCTCACAGCAGAACCATCACCAGAAGACCAGGGCGCCCGCCATAGGCTGGCTCTCTTAACTACTCTCCCCCCCCTACCTCTTTTCCCTTTCCCCTTTTGTTCTTCTTCAACAAATGGTTGTGAATACATAAAACTGCATAGCACCTCCGAAGATAGAGTAACTACAGTAAGTAACTATCTTCAGTAAGTAACTATCTAACAGTAAGTAACTATCTTCAGTAAGTAACTATCTAACAGTAAGTAACTATTTTCGCTTCCAGCCAAACGCTTCCAGCCGTGAATTTAAGGCAGGTATACAAACTCCAGACACCAGGTGACGGCCACCGGAGCCGTGGGCCTATGTAACGACGCGACTTCTCTTTGTACTCTGTGCATCTAGTTTGTTGTGTAGTTGTGCATCACAATCCTTCGTGAGTCGTTGCAAGTAAATAAATCGGTAACGAGTGTGCTATCGCGCAATTCAATATGCTGTGTCATTAAACAGAATATTTGGCTAACATAGAATTGTCACTCAAACAGCATTTAGTGTCTGGATGTTGCAGTGCAACGAGTTTGACATCGATAAACATGTTCTGTTGCGGTTGGAAAATGGCGCGGATAACCTTTGGCAATGTTTCATTCGTTGAACCCTGGCAAGATGTTAAATATGGCCAAGTGGCGAGAAATAAAAGACAGGTTCATGCATGTCAGCGTAATGAATGATTTGCGACTGTGAAGACGACCTCTACAGCAAGGACATAGTGCATTTCATTTTCAGTTTTTGTAATTTCTATCTTGTGATTTCATGAGTGAACTTGTCTGTCTTGGACCTGGGAGATGACACGAATGATATACTGGACACATTAATGGTAACGATATACAGGTCGCTAGAGGCAAAAATAGCAATGATCGGACTTGCATTTTTGCTCTGCAGTATGTGACCAGCGTCGAGAGCGGTTATAACTCATTTTTACCGTTTGTAGTAGGGTTGGCCTGCTCTAAGTAGCGTATGATATTCACTAGATTCTCAAATAATATCGGATATAAAACGTGACAACGAAGTAAGCAATTTCATTGCAGAAAGGGATGATTAATTACATGTTAGGAATGGATGCAAAAACATTTCAAAAAATCGTTCTCCATCCCTTTTCAACTCAAATGCTTATTTTGGAACAGCAAGTTTCGGTGATCTGCTTCGTGCTTTTATTAAAATCTACACTTTACGGTTTGTGATGCAAATTACACTTCCGACAAACCGTGCGTAGAAGGCAAACATATGACTGAATGTAACGGGCAAGACAACAGGAAAGCAGTGCTCCAAAAGAGCTGAACACTTGTATTGACAATGAAATGATACTTCGTAACGGCTCACTTGACTGAAGACGTGGCGCACTATGTACTGTCACAGCCTCACCTGGTGAACGTGAATACAACCCAGGTCAGGATGAGGCAGATGACGGAGAGTGTGCCCAGCAGCCAGGTCAGCACGCTCAGTGACAGTGGTGTGCCCTGCAAACATACGACCAGCGCCCAGGTCAGCACGCTCAGTGACAGCAGCGTGCCCAGCAATCATATGGCCATCACACAGGTCAGCACGCTCAGTGACAGCGGCGTGCCCTGCAATCATATGGCCAGCACCCAGGTCAGAGCACTGGAAATACTGTATTGGCCAGCCTTCACACACGTGGGCGTACACACACGCAGTCATTAAGGTCACAGCCACTGGTTGCCTGGCACAACATTGGCTTGCCGAAGACGCGATGAACTGAATCAAGTGACAAGCTCGCCTGCGAGCGTTTATGCAACGCCTGATTAGCGAACCCTTCCAACTCGAATTCTGTTGTTACGTCTGCTTGTTTTCTAGAGCAAATACGTGTTCTATATCGTGATCGTTAATTTATCCAGAAGCGTGCAGAAAATTTGAATATGAATAGCGCCAGCCATTCTCCAAAACTAGAATATTACCATTTTTACATTCATATTCAGCCTCAACATTATCAAGTAAAACGTTTCCACATTTACGAGTCGTGCCACCGGACACTCGCCTCCGCTAGAACCAGCGGCAAGGCTGAAACATTGCAGAATCATGGCACCTCAAAGAGAACGTTGTTGGCACAAAGGTGCCCATTGAAGAACATGCTGCAACCTTTTACGTACTTTATATACAAATGGTTATAGAAAGGCGTGATCCCTTCAAAGGATTGGATCAATTAGTGGCACAGGCTTCTATTTGGCTTCTATTTGAGCAGGTAACATTCGTGCATACATGCAGAACGCATCTAACATGTGCATGGATGCAAAACTGAGCATTGATCCAACAAAATCTTCTGATCAAACTATCAACTTTTACCTTCGACTCCAGATTTTTTCCGGAAATAAGACGGGGGATCCCAGAGTGTCCTTCGCAAAAATGGTTTTGGATGATAATATTTCCAGGGAAAATTTTGATCCGGGATGTTCCTAAGGGATGCTGCGTTTTTACTGCTACCGACTTTTGCTGAGTAAGGGCGTTTCCAGTCCACTGAAAATCAGGCGGCAATCTGTCCCACTCAAGCAAGCTTGTAAACCATGCCTTGATGACTCGTCCTTTGGGGGTTCGGTGTCAGAGCGGACATGTGGCTGAGCCGCCATGATTTGGGGAACCTTCTTTCGGTTTGGAGCTAAAATTACTATGTGCGACAGCGCAATGAACCTTCACTCTCGGTGCAATCAAATTTTAAAAATTCGTGCTGTAGAATAAATCTCTTGAAATTAATCTCGCAAGATCCTGTGTCAAACATTGACAGTAAACCGCGTTCGACCCATTCAAATGGTGAATGTTGTACCATGAAGAACCTCTGAGCACACTTTAAAACTGAGCCATTATCTCAACATGGGGTAAACTTCAACCGAAGGCTCTTCAGCGTCCGGAAAATTTGACACGCAGAATAGAGATTCACAGAGCAGGAACCCTTTGTGGGGCCCACGAAGCACGCACTTGTAAGCGTAGTGCGCAATGTTCGGAGTGAGATGGCATGATCGTCAAGCGTCAGGCGCGTGATACGCCCTTCCCTTAGACGGAAGGGCATATGCCTTACCAGAACAAAACTCCTCCAGAAAGTATGCAATGCTCACATAGACGTGGCCACCTTCACGGGCCCCAGCTGAGCACTGCAGATGAGCAAACGACGATCGAGTGCGCTAGTGTACGACTCAATACACGTGAATTTGTTTTCGTGTGATGACCTAATAGGCTATTGGCAAGGGGCTCCACTGGTAACATTTAGTCGGCCCCGTCGGTTTTAAGCCGGTGCAGCCGGCTGTGTTCATGCTCCGGGCCATTGACCGCGTGACCTGGCAGAGGTCGCGTGTGCGGGCCAGAGCGGGCCGCAGACTTAGGGCAGGGACAGCCGGCTGTGTGGCCGGGTGTTGAGTTGGTCCAGCATGCTGTTTGTAAATACGAGTGACTAAGTGAATAAGGGTATACACAAAAACAGCAAATTTCCTAACATTAAATTACATCAAATTAAGAAACAAACACCAAAGTTTAAGATAAAAAACAGAAAATTGCAATGAATATGATCATATTCGTTGTAGTTTAGGAAAGACAGGCTAGGTGCGCGCACGTCTTCCGAGACGGTCAAATGCATATACCCCTCCGCGTATAAGAGGTCTACGCACGGGGACTGACGAGGAATTATTTCGTGGTCATGCGTCCCATGCTCAGCTAGTTCGACCTTCATAATCCCTTTCCATTCAGAAAGTTGTTTCTCTCATTCTAATGAAGAGCGGCATTCGAGTTATGCTTACCCTGCATGTCCACTGCCGTGCCTCTGGAAGCCCGACAAGCGTTTTGTCAGTAATCGTGAAGCAATATCCACATACTGGTTTCAGAGGCTAACGATTATTTGTCGGTGCATTGGGGCAGCTACTTACCACGTATTCATGGTAATCCATCAGGATGGCAAAGTTGGTGAGGTGCGAACAGGAGCAGGTGGCGTGATCGCTGGAGGAGCTACCCATCAGCTGACACCCATCTGTCCGCCATTCGCTGCGAAACGGATCAGAAACGGCTGCTCATAGCATCACCCGGTATCCATAGGCATCGAGTGTCGACGCAGGGCTCTGAAGGTCATGCCACCGACAGGGAATCCTAGCAACGAAGAGTGACACTTATTGCGTGCATTCGTAGTACCATTCACAGTTTCAGACCCCATCCAGCTGCTGCACAGGGAAGGGGCCCACATGACCTGCGGAGGTACACCACTCATAGGTGCAGCTCGTTTGTGCACTTACTGAGCACCGCATTAGAGCTTCAATGTGATGTAAGGGAAGGGACCACATCTCCCGTGGGAAATAAACCCACCACCAAATGCCTTCCTCACTCATCCAGCTCCCTCACAGGACACGGACACATCTCCGGCGGCATACACCGCTTACGGGCGCCGTTCTCACATATCCAGCTCCCACGCAGGACACTGACACATCTCCGGCGGGATACAACGCTCACGGGCGCCGTTCCCATATCCAGCTCCCCGCAGGACACCGACACATCTCCGGCGGGATACACCGCTCACGGGCGCCGTTCTCGCATATCCAGCTCCCAAGCACAAGCACGGAATACCACACCTTTGGCGGGAGAACACCACTTATAGGCGGCTGCCCTCACCACCCACCAGCCTTTGCACATGGAAGAGCCCCGCCGCCCCTCTCGCGCAAGAGACCACTTACAGGTCATGCTCGCTCCAGTAGGCGCAGACGGCCGTGCCGGGGACGGCGGCCGGCCGCTCGCCAGGGTACAGGGTACGCCACACCGGCCGGCCGGCCGGCTGTCGCGCCGCCCGCCGGTACTGCAGTCGCAGCCGAGCACCGGCCACCTCCGAGAACCGCACCTGCCGACCGGCACTGCCCAGCGAGAAGCCCAGCACCGGTGAGTTGAGCCGCTTCTCGGAGTCGTCGAGGCTGCCGACAGAGCCGGCCGCCGTCAGAGCGGCAGACGGTCGGGACGGACGTGTGGATGAGGCGGCAGGCCAGCTGGTAGGGCAC